CTGAAAATTCCAAAGCCTCGCATTTTGACATTAGTGTGGAGCATCGGGAATTTGGGCAATAAATTCTCTCCGTAAAAGGAACACGAGCTTCCTTTATGCATTGAGTCATGATCTCAATTAACTCTGGTGTTAATAACTTTGTGCAGCTATCTATTTCCAGATCAGACCGGCAACCTTCAAAAGGACACTTGGGCACAATCCCTTGGCGCAATTGTACCTCGACATTTTTCTTCACACAAGAAAAGCAAAATCTGTGGAAGCAATAATCAACTGAAAACATCTTCAGTACATCGACATTCTCCAAGCAAATTGCACAAGTTTCCTTCAAAATTGTGCTATCACTATTCATTGGACTGGTTTTAGAGAGTAGAGCAGCTCTTGCAAATGTATATGTCACCACCTGATATTGACAGTAAAAACAGGAAGTTGAAAGGTTTCGTGCTATTGAGAATCGACGCTTAAATAAGTAGGAGCATACACAGGAAGTTGGAAGGTCTCGTGCTATTGGAAATTGTTGATTAAATAGGTATTGCAAGAGTCCTATTATTCTTAAACAACTTTAGTGGAGTATAAGATATCAACTAAATACAATTGATAATTACAAAATTATTTACAAATGTTCTTCATATCTTTTTGTTAGGCCTGGGAGCGGTTTGGTTTAGGTCGATTTCGATCACAACCTGAAACCAGAACCAAATTACTCGATTTAGAAGAATTTCAACCCAAACCAATCCATTCTAACTTTTAAACCAAATCGACCCAAACCAAATCAGTTCGATTAGTCAGTTTTGACTTTTAAATGATATTGCATCATAAAAAATGGAAAGTCATGCAAAAAATAATATATGCCATTCAATTTAACCACTCACGCTGACACGGCCATAACCAAATCGAATCTTCATCGAGCTTATTCCATCCCAATATAGTTCATCTTCATCAACTTGGATATGTGGATGTCCATAAGAATGAAAGAGACGCCAAATTAAGTTTATTGCACTTAATTAAATATGAACAGCTAAACATTCACAATTATTTCTTTCTTCCGTCTCAGTAGGGGGAACGATATGATCAGAACTAAAAATAACCAGAACTAAACATGATCCAAAGTCAAGACTAAGAAACTAAATTTTATGTTACAAGATAAAAAACGAAGTCGGTGCTGATAATTAAATAATGAATGACACCTCAACAATACAGCCAATCCACATTAATTTTCAGAAGAAAAATGAGACCCCACCCCAACTACACTTATAGAATTAGTAGCCAGAAGCCAACTCAATCCGTTAAAACTTTCACTCCACACGAGAAGTTTGTATAAAATATACAGCCACCACAGAGAAAAATCCAGTCATAATTTAACATTCAAGCAAATTAGTCAATATTTAAATAGCCAAGAACACGAAAACCGAACCAGATCAAACGAATATTGGATTTCAGGCTACGAAGTCGGAGAGTCGATTTCAGGCTTTAGAAGTAACTTAGGAGATTGGATTAGGAATTTGGATTGCAACGGTAAAGCTGGAGACGGCGAGAGATTGGAGAGACCGAGAGACAATCGAGCGATTTGAGCAAGCACTTGCGTTTGAGATTAGGGTTCTCAAGTACGATCGTAAATCTGTGAATTTCATTAAAAAAAAATCAGTGTTTAAGCCACTTTATTGAAGAATGTACTTTATATAACGAAGAATGTTTGTCAAAATTTTTATTATTTTATTGAATAATGTATTAATGATTAAAAAATATAATTTTTTAAAATAGTGTGATTCAAATCGGGCTAAATTATAACTTGTTAACGGGTTGGGCAAATTCGACTCAGCTCTGGTTATTGATGTCAAATCATGGATCAAACCGATCTAATAAGATTTTGTTTAAAAAATATATATATCAAAACAAACCAATAGATTGGATCAAACTAATTCGAATCGGTTTGATTTGATTGATTTAATTGATTTATCGATTTTTTTGTTCATTCTTGTGAGTATTTGGTTTACAGTAAAACCTCTATTTGGTTATTAATTTATAAATAAATGAATATTTATTAATCTATAGAGCATTTTATACTTTAATAACTTGTATTATATTTTATTATATCATTTCATTGCACTTGCTATAAAAGAGGGAATGCTATAATTACTATTCATTTTTCTGCCCTTCATTTCACACTGGAACCAGTTAGGCTATTGCTCAGTATCTGGTCTCCGATTGCTCGTGTCTATTGTGGAAACGACGCCGTATTGATGATAAAAATATCACGTAATAGAAATCATCTACTCTCTTTCTCCAGACACTTTCATAATCATTTCCTCGTGTTAACTCTCTCTCCGGCTTTGTTTCTCGTTCTATAGTACGTCCTCCTCTTGTTTTTCTCTGCTTTTTCCTTATTTAGCTGGATTCACTAGAGAAACTTCGAATTTTGTTACAGTTTTGCACTTTTTGTGGATTTTTTCTTCGTTTGTTCAGTTTTACTTAAATTATTTTTCTTCTTTGCTGTCTGATATGTGAAAAATCTATTCGATTACTTTTGAGTGACTTTGATCTACTTCAGAAGCTAAATGTTTTCTTTTTCGTCGATTTTTGTTCTGTTCGAGTCTATTCCAGTTTTGTGTCTCGATTTTACAGTACCGTTGTTCATATTTTCAATTGATTCTTCTTTAGATTAGCTCGACCTAGCTAAGAAAATTCAAATTTTGCTACATTTTTCCTTCTTTGTGGATTTCTTTGTCTGTTTCTTCAGTTTCATTTAAGGCCTTGTATCTTCTTTTTGTTTGATATGCGAAAATTTTGTTGGGTTATTCTTCATTCACCTTGATTTACTTCAGAAGCTTTTATTTTTGCTCAATGTGTGTTTCTCTGCTCGATTTCTGCTTCTAATGTTTCACAAGGAGTACAATTGGTTCTTGTCAGTATTTTCGGAGATTTTTTGGCTCAGTTGGGATGTCTTATACTCCCGTTGGCATTTGTACTTTTGGCTTTCAACATTTTATCTTTATCTAGTTAAGAAGCTCAATTTTTTTCTCAATCTTTGCTCTACTGTGTATTTCTTTTTCTTTTTTTCTGTAGTTTTAGTTTAGGTATGTTGTTATCTTTATACTTCTGTTGCCTTTTCTTACTATAAATTATTCTCCACTTAATTATGCACAAGCTCAATTGATTCCAATAAATAAGGTTTAGAGTCTTCAAAGCGGTAATGTAAATCATTATTTTTTTTCTTTAACATGGCTATGTATCCACGTTCAACTGTAATTTGCAATCCACTGCCCAGAACCTATAAAAGTTTACTCGCTGGCTAGCCGACCATACCCACATCCGCCTTTCAATTTGGAATAGATCTCTCCCAATCTAGCTTCTTTACTTTGCAAATGGAACTTTAGGATATTCTTTATTGGATGAGTGACTTCTTTTAAAGGATTCAGATTAATTGAAAATTTGATTTCAGTAGCTTATATTATTTAGTTGGCCAACATTTTTCTTCATTTGTCATGTTAACTCATAACCAACTTATGTTCGATTGGATGTATAATTTATAGGGTTTATATTATGATGCATTTTACGGACATCTTCGATTCAGTGAGGATCATTTTCACCAAATTGAAGCAGCAGTAAAAAACTGATAGACGTATGATTATTTTTATTCTCTAAATTTTGCTTTTAAGATATTTTAGTGATGGCTCTCGGTTTAGTTCTAATTAACATATTGTTGCTGTGATTATGTTGTTTAAAACCAGCAACAATTAAAAAAAAAAAAAAAATTTGGTCGCCATGCAGTCGCATGGCCATATGTCGAGACCTTGGGTGAACCATGCGACCGCATGTTAATGGTTTTGTACCATGCGGTCACATGATATAATTTTTTGGTCGTTGGAAGTTGCTTTCTCCCGCTGTAAATTTAAATTTGGTGACTTTAGGCTTATAGTTTGGTACCATTTCGTGAATGTGGTGTATGCCTATATATATATTGGATCCATGTTGAAGGTAAAAACATCACAAAAACATCAATGTTTCATATTACTTCCAAAATCAAAAATCAAAGTCTTTTAAAAATCATATTCATATTCATCCCTTGTGTTCTTCAAGTTCTCTAGGATTTGCAATTGTGTTTTGGTGTTTCAATTCTTACAAGGCTTGTTATAATCCTACAAATCATTTGTCAACAACCTTCGAAGCATCTCAAATTCATAGGAGAAGTGTCAAATATCGTTTGAGGACAACGATCTTGTGTTCAAGCCATTCATTAATACAAATTCGTCATTGTCTAGTTCTTGTCATTGCCGGTTCATGTTTTGTGACTTCTATTTCAACCCGGTAAAATTCTCCAACAATCTCAAACAATATTTGTGCAATGAAAAGTGAGACAACGTTGGCGACAATCAAACTCATAAATCAAGACTTGGTGTAGTTAGATCGGTTCGACAGAACAAACTATACTCGATGGAAAGATAAATTAAAGTTTCTTCTTACTGTACTAAAGATCTTCTACATCCTCGATCCGAAATTGGCGCCACTACCGGAACCAACAAAAGGAGAGACCGAAGCGGTGAGAAATGAAAGACAAAAGCGCCAAGAAGACGAGTTGATATGCCGCGGTCACATTCTCAACGCATTATCGGATTGTTTGTATGACTTATATACAAACACAATTTTTTGGTGTGTTTGGTGGCGACGGTGGATCTGGTTGCGTCAATTTTGTTGATGTTGGTGTTGGTGGTGGCGGTGGCGGTGGCAACGGGGTGAGCGTGGTTATAAGTGACGGTGGTGACAGTGGAGTTGGTGGTGATTGACTATTTGACCTGTGACTTTAAAATTCAATCATCTGTGACTAAAAAAAGTAATATGTGACAATTAAATTTGAAAATATGTGACTTGTGACTATAATTTTTTGGATATATGACCTATAATTTTTTGATCTGTAATCTTGACATAATCTGTGACTTATCAAAATTGTGATTTTTGACCTCGAGAAAATCTGTAACGAATTAATTTGATGATATGTGACCGATATATAAAATCTATGACCTATAATTGTGAATATGTGACCATGAATGGTATAACAGTGGCTTTATTATCATTATTTAATAAATATTTTTAGTTAATTAGCTAAAACCTGATTTTTGCCCTTAACCTGAATTTTGAATTAAACATAGTCAACACTTGATTTATGAACTCTTCCCATACATAATATTGTTATAATACGTTATTTTAGGTCCAATTGAGCTATATTCAATGCAAAATTACCTTCACCGGTGGCGGTCGTCCAAACACGCATTATTTTATACATTCATTGTACCTTAAAGGATCTCAAAAATAAAAAAATTATATATATAATTTTTTTAAAGCACGTTAGAGACTTTTTATTTATTTATTTATTTTTATTTTTTTGGTAAATAATGCATTTTGGAAAAGTATTCTGATAGAGAATGTCTGAGTAAAAAATAAGAAAAAATTTTGAATTTGCGTGTAATATTATTTATTAAAGAATGTGTAGTTGGAAAAAAAAAGGGGGGGAAATATATTTTTTAAAAAAATAATAATAAGAATCAAACAAGGGTTTAGTACACTGACCCAAGTTGGGAAGGAAGAATTTTATTATATGAGTGAGATTATTAATTTATCGAATATTTATTAATCGAGGTTTTGCTGTATATTTCTCTAATAGTTGTTGCCAAAAGTATCGCATGTTGATAGCCTGATAATGCTTTTTATTGATTTAACTTTAAAGTAGTTATTCTTAATTTTTTCGATATAACTTTTCTTTTTCCTATAATTTATGAAAGATTGTGTTTCTATATGCTATTTCTCACGATTACAGCAATGATAATCAGTTTGAAATAAGAATTTAAATAAGACCATATAGTGCCTTTAGTTCAGGGGTCTAGGGTTTCAGTCTCACATAGACCTTGAAGTGGCCACTAGGATGGTATGCAACCCTATGAGATCTACACACATTGAAGAAAGGAGTGTTTTGCCAATTGAAGTCATATAGTTCCATTTGTGACCGTCGGATCATCCAAATCATCACCACTATCATCATCATCACTTTAATCTTCATCGGGTGGTAGGCCCATTCAATCACAAATCCTAACCTCGCAAGCTGAGCCGTGGTCATACTCTAGACCGAGGTCCCATAATGAGAACATTGAATTTTCTCCTCAAACTCGACCCAAGGGTTTATCAAAAACTTCTGGGTCCTCGACTTTTTAAATCCCCAAAATACCCCATTGAATAGCTAAATTGTACCTTTTGCCCCTCCTCATATGCTTATGTGTCGCTCATATTTATATTTAAATAATGAATCATAATGGCACTCATATCAATATGATTTAAAAACGATAGGCAATGTGCATCAACACTCGTATGAGAATTATACATACTTGTAAATGTTATTCTACTTTAGTAATGTTGTTTAAGCATGTGAATAATGTAAAACATGCATGCAATTATAATAACTGCTCCATTTTTCATTTCAGTACAACAATGACGGCATTCAAGTCGACATGGTAACAAAATGCTAGCTGAAGAGTATATGTGAAGTGCACACACCAACACTTGTTATTTTGCCTTAGTAATGTTGTTTCAATGCGTTAGAAAAGTGGTTCTCACTCTTACAAGTGTGGAAGACTAGGAAACGATTTTGATTCATTCATCGCTGGCAGTACATATGTTATTTATAGAAGTATTTTATCAAATTATTATATTGCTAATGTTATATATGCAATGACATTCACATTGTCCAATGTCCAATGAAGATCTCATATAGACGGTGATCAATAGTGATAAAGAATGTTATTCTGGAAAATTTGGATCGGGTTGAATTGCTTTTATTATTATGTCTATTTGTTAAGAAAATTCCTAGTATAATGCTTGTTATGGATGTAGTAAATTTTTTGTTAGAATGGCTATGGGGTTGTCTATTTTGATGTGTTAGGATCATTTTTTGTTGGCCTAAACATTCCTATCGGGTCGTGTAAATAAGTTGAAGACAATCTATTATGGTGGTTAAATCTTGCAATGATATAAAGAATAATTTATGAATTTAATGCTGTTTAATTTATAAAAAAGTAATAATGGAAGTTCCTAGTTGCTACTTTTTCCATAATTCGAGTGCCTGAGATTCATTTTCCTCTAGTTTGAGGGGTTTTAGTGAAACTACTTGTGATTGATATAGAGAAATGATCACAATTTGTTTCCTTTCCCTGCACGATTTTTATTCAGTTTGGAGCAAACAAAGAAAAAAAATATGTATCTAGACTGATATTGAATTGGAGGATCAGTATGGATTAGGTGTTTACAGTCTGTAATTTGCATTGCAGTTTGGAGTTGGACCACCACTGAACTCAATTATTCGCTTCACAATTTTATAGCCTGTAGTTATGGGGCAAAAGGTGGAGTTTATCATGTTAATTCTAAATATTTTCCTTTCATTTTCTCTCGTCCCTCAACAATCTATGGGTTCTTTGTTCTAGTCGTCATTGAGTATTAACTTATTATTGTTTGTGAACTTTACGGCTTTAAACATATTGAGAAAATCAAACTTTCATCGAAGAAAAGTAAATGAAAGTCTTTTATAAAAATTCTCTAGAATGAAATTTTCATTCAATACATGTCAAATCATGAATTAGTAACTACATTCAATTTTCAAAAAAAGTCTCAATTGTGTCGAACTTCTCAGTTGAACATCCAAAACCAATAAGAGCAAACCTGATCTCCCTTCGACACCCTTTCAGGCCCTTTGATTTCGAAAGAATAACTATTGCTGGTCATCCGCTTAGCCATTTCCTTTAAGCATTGTTTGTTTTGGCACAATTTTTAAAAAATTATATTTTCCTAACTCATTTTCACTATCAATTTTCATTAGCCTATAGTTATGGGACAAAAAGTGGAGTATATCATGTTAATTCTACAAATTATCCTTTCATTTTTTGTCCCCTCTCAACAATTTATGGGCTCTTTTTTCTATTTGTCGTTGAGTATTAACTTATTATTGTTTGTAAACTTTACAGCTTTAAACATATTGGGAAAATCAAACTTTCATTGAAGAAAAGTAAATTGAAAGTCTTTTATAAAAATTCTCTGGAATGAAATTTTCATTTGATACATGTCAAATCATAAATTAGAAACTACATTCCATTTCCGAAAAAAGTCTTAATTGTGTCGAACTTCCCTTCCTTAAACAGTTGAACATCCAAAACCAATGAAGAGCAGACTTGATCTCCCTTCGACACCCTTTCAGCCCCTTTGATTTCGAAAATACCTATTGGTGGTCATCCGCTTAACCATTTCCTTTAAGCATTGTTTACGGTCGTTTCCATATCAGGCTGCCATCACACCATTGAAAGAAAATTGATCTCCTGTGACAATCTCCAACTATTACTCATTTACAATTGTCAAGCAAAATTAATGTTAACAAACCATAACACGGTAGATACAATAAAAATATCTCATAGAGTAATGCAATCATCACCGCACTCTATAAATGGGTATCCTAGCACTTTACTTTCATCCCTTTCTTACTGGATCAATATACTGTATACATATATCTCATCCGTGGAATAAACTTGTTATGAAAACATGTACAAATAGCTCCAGAAGACGGTGAATTTTGACCAAAATATTTTCCAGTCAACATAAGCATCTTAATCAAAGGAATTCTTACATGAATATGGATCATCGGTATAAAGACCATATAAATCATTAATAACATCAAGGAACACTTTATAGCTCAATTCACGCAACAAGAAAAAAGAATTAAAGACCCAATTCATCTCAAGAATTAAAGATGGCTGGGCCGACGACTGTCACACGAAGCAATTGCTAGATTTCGAGCTTTGAGGAAATCCGGTTTCGAGAATTTGGGGACACCAACACCATGTTTCTTATTTCATTTCCTTCCAAATGCTTTTTTTTTTCTCATTGAATCCACATCAGCATTTTCTACTTACCTTGTAAAACATCTGGCAAACCAACCTCTATGTTTAGCTTTATTCTTTATTTAAAAATTACCTGTCTCTAATTCATTTTCACTACCTTCTCAATTTTTAATAGAGGGGAAAAAAAAACTATTATTTTAACCTATCACTTGACACTTTAATATTTTCGTCCCGTTTGATTATCATTTTTATTAAAATAATTTTTTTTAACCATATATTTTTCATTAAAATAATATTACATATAAATAATTTTTTTTTATTTTTCAACTACACATTCTCTATCAATTTACTATTTTAAAATTCATTTTTTCATAAAAATAGATGTCAAACACCCTCTTTATTTGTTTAATTTGTTGGTATTGATAATTTTATAATAATAAAAAGACTATATAACTTCAAATTTGCTGCTCAGCCTCTGTCACATGCCCTTGTTTGTGTTTAACATTTCCCATATAACTTTAGTTAAATTTTTGAACATATTATTGGAAGTTATAATGACAATTGCTTAGAGACTATTTAGCTTATGACTTTCACGCACCAATCGTCGTAGCACGTGTCGTGATCAAAACTTAATTGTCAAAATGACTTTTGAAAAACTTTTTGACAATTAAGTATTAACTTTTGCATTATTGCAACGTAGTCAGTTACATGAATATATCAAACATTGTGTCAATAAATGCTTAATGAAAAATATATCAAATTCTTTTTACCAAACGTGGTGTTATAAATGTAGAAATGGATTTATATCATGTAACAAAAGTTTATGGCTATTGTAACATAATGAAGAAACATAAGTTAGTAATCATAATATCATGTCCATATAAAAAATTTGAAGAAAAAAATTGAAATTCATTATGAAAATGTCAAGTATACGCAAACTATAGCGACCAAGCATTTTCCCTTTGGTCCCTTCTGACCCATCAAGTTCTTTCTCGAGGTTTTGGACCATGGAGATTTATTTGTCATCAAGTCTTTGGCTTTTTTAGCTTTTGTTTGACTCTCATTAATTTTTATTATAATGAGGGGGAATAGAATTTTTTTGAAAAATGAATGACGTGTCGTGATCAAAACTTAATTGTCAAAATGACTTTTGAAAAACTTTTTGACAATTAAGTATTAACTTTTGCATTATTGCAAAGTAGTCAGTTACATGAATATATCAAACATTGTGTCACTAAATGCTTAATGAAAAAGATATCAAATTCTTTTTACCAAACGTGGTGTTATAAATGTAGAAATGGATTTATATCATGTAACAAAAGTTTATGGCTATTGTAACATAATGAAGAAACATAAGTTAGTAATCATAATATCATGTCCATATAAAAAAATTAAAGAAAAAAATTGAAATTCATTATGAAAATGTCATGTATACGCAAACTATAGCGACCAAGCATTTTCCCTTTGGTCCCTTCTGACCCATCGAGTTCTTTCTCGAGGTTTTGGACCATGGAGATTTATTTGTCATCAAGTCTTTGGCTTTTTTAGCTCCTGTTTGGCTCTCATTAATTTTTATTATAATGAGGGGGAATAGAGTTTTTTTGAAAAATGGATAAAATCGAGTAATAAGAAATATTAAAAAAAAAAATAATTCCAAAATCTTACTGCAGTAATGGTGCAAAAAACTGGAAGTAGCAGGCAACAGCAGTTAACCCCCGTGCACGACTGGCCCCTACCACGACGCAACTACCGCTGTCGCTACCTTCACGGCACTGACTTCACCCTCCTCGATGTGGCGAAATCTCTGCCCTTCATTTTTTTTCATCTAATCCTTTTCCTACCTACCACCCTTACTTTTTCCAGAATTGCAATTTGGACTCTAAAAAATTATCAAGTACACCCATGTTCATCCATGGCGGCTCATGTATATTTATACATTATGAGTATCAAAAATCAATAATGTCAACATTCAGAACCTTCCTGTCGGTTTCATGCGTATAGAATTATATATACAAACATATACTTGTACATTGTATGTATATGGGATGCATTTTTTATACTGAAAAAGCTTGAAAATTACTCCATTGTGGAATTTTCGGTTGAATTCTGTGGAAAACTTTGCTGATGTCTGAGTTTAACGAGTCCACGGAATATACGAATCTGTTTGATGAGGACGTGGGGAAAAATCGGTACAGTCACAGTTTCACTGCCGTGGACAGGGGAGCTAAATCGGCATCGGCGGCGGAGGGTGTTGGGAGTGGGGATTGGAGGTATCAGGCGGTGGAGTTTGCAAAGGGGGCGGCGGAGATGAGTGTGCAGTTTGGGAAGGGAGTTAGGGACGTAGTGAAGCAGAGTATTTTGAGAGAAGATTCTGTGATTGTGAGGAAGTTGAAAGGACCGTGCGAGAGAATTTGCGGGAAATTGGGGTTTCTGAACGAGTATTTGCCAGAAGATCGCGATCCGTTACATTCATGGAGTGTGATCATCTGTGTTTGGGTTCTTGCTCTTGCAGGTAATTTCTTCATAAATTTCTGTATTATTGATAAATCTGATGTTTTGTATGTAGAAGTCTTTATTGAAATTTGTATGGTTAAACATAGCGGACAGAAAATTTTAATTTAATTTGATTAGATTTTATGGGGGCTTAGTTGTTTGAAAGAATTAATTAAATCGAGTAATAAGAAATATTAAAAAATAAATAAATAATTCCAAAATCTTACTGCAGTAATGGTGCAAAAAACTGGAAGTAGCAGACAACAGCCGTTACCCCCCGTGCACGACTGGCCCCTACCACGACGCAACTACCGCTGTCACTACCTTCACCGCACTGACTTCACCCTCCTCGATGTGGCGAAATCTCTGCCCTTCATTTTTTTTCATCTAATCCTTTTCCTACCTACCACCCTTACTTTTTCCAGAATTGCAATTTGGACTCTAAAAAATTATCAAGTACACCCATGTTCATCCATGGCGGCTCATGTATATTTATACATTATGAGTATCAAAAATCAATAATGTCAACATTCAGAACCTTCCTGTCGGTTTCATGCGTATAGAATTATATATACAAACATATACTTGTACATTGTATGTATATGGGATGCATTTTTTATACTGAAAAAGCTTGAAAATTACTCCATTGTGGAATTTTCGGTTGAATTCTGTGGAAAACTTTGCTGATGTCTGAGTTTAACGAGTCCACGGAATATACGAATCTGTTTGATGAGGACGTGGGGAAAAATCGGTACAGTCACAGTTTCACTGCCGTGGACAGGGGAGCTAAATCGGCATCGGCGGCGGAGGGTGTTGGGAGTGGGGATTGGAGGTATCAGGCGGTGGAGTTTGCAAAGGGGGCGGCGGAGATGAGTGTGCAGTTTGGGAAGGGAGTTAGGGACGTAGTGAAGCAGAGTATTTTGAGAGAAGATTCTGTGATTGTGAGGAAGTTGAAAGGACCGTGCGAGAGAATTTGCGGGAAATTGGGGTTTCTGAACGAGTATTTGCCAGAAGATCGCGATCCGTTACATTCATGGAGTGTGATAATCTGTGTTTGGGTTCTTGCTCTTGCAGGTAATTTCTTCATAAATTTCTGTATTATTGATAAATTCTGATGTTTTGTATTTAGAAGTTCGCGTTTGATGGTTTGCAATTAAGGGATTTAAACTTTGATTTCAATTTTTATTATTTTTTTATTTTTTAAATCTGGAACTCCAATTTGGTTCTGCCGAACATAGTGCTAGTTTTTTCGCAATTTCAAATAATTGAATGATATTTTATTGAATTCTGATTTAATATATTTGTGCTGATTCATCATTGTATCATACTATGTGTCAACTCTTTCAAAGGAAAGGATTATGCCGATGCTAGAAAAGGATTATGCACGAACATATTTTCCACTCGTGTTGCAAAATAATTTTAACTTTAGAACTTGTGTGAAACTAGAACCAAGTATTGCTAGCTTGATAGTGCGGAAATCCAAATAAAGAACGAACGGCAAAAATTTTGTTGATGGTTTATGATCGGTTGTTCTAAATACCATAAAACTGTTTTGAATATGCAAGCTACTATGCTGAGAGTACCATTTATTGGTTACATGAGTCATTCAGTAGGAACTAAGTTTGCACGCTCCAGTTTAGCTTTTCTTTTCCTTCTTTTTATGCGGGGTTTCACGGCGTTTCCGAAATATTTGTAAATTCAAAGTATGAGATGTCCAGCTGTTCAGAAGCTTGGGAAATGATGAGATATTTTCATTGATCACCGTAGATGTTGAACTTTGGGCGGCGATTTTATATTGTTACTTGCTAAATTCAGAATCTTGTTTACTGGGCTAAGGGTTCTTATAAATTCTTAACTTCCCATCTCTGCTCCGGGCATTGATGCATTGTAAAATTAGGAGCAATGCTACAGTTTTCTATATTATTTCACATGTTTGGCCACAAATAGTGTGTCCACATAATTTATTCTGTGATTGTCAATCATACATTTATACATATATTCTATCTTTGTTCCGTACAATATTTTGCATATATATTACGCTTTTGAATTTCATTTGCATACACTTCGCTTACTGACTGAGTAAACATATCTGCAGTATTGATTGTGAATACTGATCATGATACTACAACTTCTCTGGTTAAGAAAATTAAGATCCATCCTCCTAGCGCTAGCCTTATATTGCTTCCATGCGGTAGACGCTTAGCTTACCAGGAGCAAGGAGTTCCAGCTGAGCAAGCTAGATTTTCCATGATTGTTCCTCATCCTTTTCTTTTATCCAGGCTTGCAGGTATCTTGATATTCAGCACTTTTTTTTTTTTTTTTGAAAAACTTAATCAAGAAAATAATGGGTGAAAGCTGTTTTTGTTAAATTTCTCCAAAGATCTCTTCATTTTTTTTCTGGAATTCTACTTCTGAAACTAGGAATTCCTGGCCTCAAGCATTCCCTTCTGCAAAACTTTGGTGTTCGGATGGTGACATATGACCTACCTGGATTTGGGGAAAGTGATCCTCATCCTGATAGGAACCTTGAGACATCGGCTCTGGATATATTACACTTATCCTATGCTTTGAATATTACTGACAAGTTCTGGGTGGTTGGATACTCTGATGGAAGCATGCATGCATGGGCTGCCCTTCGATACATTCCTGATAGGCTTGCAGGTAGAACAGTTTCTAAACTACATTTTCAATTGATTGTCTTTATGTTTCTATATTCTTGGTTTTTTCTGTGCTGCATTTGTCTAAAGGATATTTTTCTTTCTATCGAAGATTTTGCTGTCTTTGGAGCATCTTGAATGTGAAATGTTAAACCAACGGGGAACACCTTGAATTGCTGGGGTTTGTAGCTATTTGAAACTAATCATTTTCGGGAAAACATCAAAGATATGTACATGAAAGAGTATATTCTCTTCAGAGAAACCTTAGCTAGGTCAGAGCACAATGCAGTGATGTTGTGAATAGATTGGAATGGTTGTGATGGTTCTAAATTATTGGACACAGACCATGGAAAGGCTCATGTTTTCCCATATTTCATAGAGCATCTGTTTCTGAATTAATTTTTATTGAATTTGTAGGTGCTATCATGGTTGCTCCAATGGTCAATCCATATGAATTGAGAATGACCAAGGAAGAAAGACGGAGAATCTGGGGAAAATGGACAATAAAGAAGAAATTGAGTTATCAATTAGCTCGGAAGTTCCCTAGATTACTCCCTTACTTCTATAGGAAAAGCTTCCTTTCTGGAAAACATGGCCAGATAGATAGATGGCTTTCATTGTCACTTGGCTCCAGGGTGAGTCGTATTGATTGAAAACAAAATATTGCAGTACATCTTTGCATGTTGGGTAGAGAAGATTGTATGGCACCGTTACTATTAAGGAAGAAAAAGAAGTTAAAATCCTGTTTGTTATGCTATCCAGCTGTCAGGTCTAATATTGTGTGCCACAACAATCACGTGTTTTCAGTCAGCTTGCTATATCACGACTTTGAAATTGTAAAACAATGGTTAAGTACTGATATAACTGTCAACTGATGGGCTATCATAACCAAGATCAGTTTACATTTTGGTTATAAATGCTGATATTGTTGGTTAAGAGTATTGATTGATATAACCAGATAGGTTATCATTACCAAGATCAGTTCACATTTTGGTTTATAAATGCCAATAGTGTTGCTAGTTGCTACAGATAAATTTATTATAAGTATTTCCACTTTTAAGTTAAATCTGAAATTTTCTGATTGAAAACTATGATAAATGGTCTAGGATAGAGCTCTGGTAGAAGGCAAAATGTTTGAAGAGTTCTGGCAGAGAAATGTTGAAGAATCAGTTCGACAGGCCAATGTAAAACCATTTGTCGAGGAAGCTGTCTTGCAGGTTTCTAACTGGGATTTCAGCATCGCAGACCTTAAAGTACCGAATAAACATCAGGGTAAAGGCATTCTTCTTTGGCTCAAATCACTTTACAGTCGGGAAGAAGAAAGATCTAGTGGATTTCTTGGCCCAATACACGTATGGCAGGTTAGTTGACTGTCCAGTCCCTATATATATTTGAGTTTAGTTTCTCAGCGAGATGTCATGTTTTATTTCCTGCATTTTGGATCATCTGTTCGGCTGTTATTGGAATTATGACACATCTTCTCTTGGGATTTATAAAATAAACATATAAGCTTTCTTGCAGATGCAGAATATTGCTAATTGATGCATTGTGAATTTAACAATAATTTTTCGTGTGATATTAGTGCTGAATGAATGTAGCAAGATTCAAGTCTGCTTAAAATCAGATTCATTTATGGGCTTGATCTAAAAATGTAGACCAAGCCTATGGATTTTTATCTAACAGGTGCAGCAAAATCAGCGTCTTGAATCACGAGGAAAAGAAGGGGGGAAAAATAATAATTAAAAAAATCCTTCTGATTAAACTGTCAGAACGTTTCTATCTACATACTCTTCTTTTGATCTTGAGTCAGTCGAAAAGGTTAATTATGATAATTCTTGTCAAAATAAAAACTTCAGTTGTGCTGACAACTTTATTTGCTTCTGCTTTCAAATTCTGTCAAATAGGGAGCCGAAGATCTGGTTGTCCCTCCATCAATGAGCGACTTTGTGCACCGAGTTCTACCAGATAGCATGCTGCATAAGCTTCTATATGAAGGCCATTTCACGTATTTTTTCTTTTGTGATGAATGTCATCGGCATATGTTTACTACCGTTTTTGGAAATCCTCAAGGTCCTCTTCCCCCAAAAGTGGATCAAACTCCCATTGAAGACGTTGAGAAAAATTCAGAGGAAGTAATTTTCAGTGATACTTCAACAGAGGAAGAGCACGTTTCTTGTTTAACCACAGATGTGAAAGAACAACAGACTCATTTTGATGCATAGCACAAGAAATTTGAAATCTTTGTCCTTTGATTGTGTGGACACGAATGGAGCAGTGTTACTGAGATTATAGTAGATAACTTTTGTATAGTGTGAGATCCATTATGAACTCTTGAAAGAAGAAATAGAACAATCCTAGACTTCAATAGCCAACAATGCATTTATTTATACCCAAAATTTTTTTATTTTCCTTCTTAGTCGGTCTAAATAATTGATAATGGAGCAGCGACCAGTCTCAATCCTCGTAAATAGGAGGATTGCGATAATTTTTGTGATATGATAAATTTTTATAGAAGTTTTATTGGGACATTTGGAATTCAATGCATATTAAAAGGTGAGAAGTTAAAATCTTATGTATTAATCATTATACAAATAAATCCCTGTGTACAGGGGAACTATTCACAGGGGAATTACAGACCCCTCACATGGGTCGACCCCAAGCGAGGCAAAAAAAAAAAAAAAAAACCAACCCCACCCATGTGAGACCCTTGTAAAGGGTTTGTAAGAGCTGGGCTTGTACGCCAAGCTCGGTTGTTATTATACTGGCTACTTGTGTATTATTACAGTGTAATTTTTAGCATAAGAAACCAATGCAAGTTTCATCAGGTAAATGAATCTAACTTTTGTAATGTTGGCCAAAACGAGAATATCTGTAGTAGTTGAAACTCTAAAATGTCAAATTTTAGTTATTCTGGCACTGCTGCTTTTGACAATAATTAAGATTCGAGCGAAATTTTAACTAAAATACAGAATTTATTTATTATATATATATTTTTTTTTGTAGAATGAAGCGAAAGCAAACAGAGTCTTGAGTTTCATTCTGGTCTCTGGCACTAGCTCTGAGCATGGCCAGGGTGATGACCTTCTCCTTTGTTTTCTCCCTCTTTTTCTCTTTTCTCATCTGACTGTAAAAGAGGAAGAGGAAAAATAAGGGAAGAGTTAAGCAGCTTTCTAGGAACGGTTTCGTCACGTCTTTATCATGCATAAACAAGCTTCTTCTGATCATTTATTGCGAATATTACCGTACCATTCATTAAGCAGTCATATGTCTAACAAAGTTGTGATGACATATTTCTTCCGTGCATTTCATTTTAATGTAGACGTCATTCAATTTGGTGGTGGACTGATATTAAAATCCTTATTCTTGTTTCTGGTCTTTGAAGTCACTGACACAAACAGCGTTCAACCTCACATTAACGATATACGACTTGGGGAAAAAAAATCTTTCATCACATAATCCGAAGAAGTTTGTACTCCGTACAAAATAAAACTGATGACTATCGCGCCAAAAAAGCATTACCCGCCTCCACTGGTATTTCTTACGTTTGACAAAGGACTAAACAGATTCTTCCAGTCGAATATAACTTCTACAGAGCGAGATCGCAGAACAGACACGAAATTTCCACATTAGGGATAATGGCCCTCGAGTTTCCCATTATCAGTGAAGTTGTGATCAAGATTGGCAGCTCCAACTTCTAACCCAATCGGTCAAAGTGGCCACATTTCTATTCATGTCTTCAATACAGTCACTTTTCAACGCCACCACAATTTCTTCTGGATAATTCCCTTTGGCCTCCTCCAGCAACACTTGAAAGATTTCACATTCGATATTGTTTGTAAGTTTCTGCCCTAAATAACCCCTGTCGCATAGGTAAAAAGGTTATTAAGCAAATAGATTTGACGACAACAGTGGCTAAAACTCAAAAGAATAACCCGAGACAAGATCAAGAATGCAAAACAACCAATTGCAACAATTGCGAGTATATAACCTCTTTGTCAATCTGTCATACAACATAGAGTTTTCGGTTTGAAGCACGACCACACGGTCGAACCAGCGCTCAGGAAAGAAGTCACCTCCATGGTAATCCACGATGTTTCCACCTTCTTCCATCAAATCCTCGAGCTCATCACATACCTGTTCAATTCATACAGTTGGCAACATCCAAAATCAGAAATGAACTCAAGATCAGATATCATTTCCTCTGGCTCAAAATATCTCCCATTCTTTTATGTCTTAAGATTCTTAACATACAAGAAATTAGCCATTCATGCTGTCATGCTTTCATGCAACCAGGTCAGCCACAATAAAAATATAGTTAGCCATATTCATGCTTTCATTCAACAAGGTTGAGCCACCAATTACCAACACTTCACAAGCTCAAACAAATATTGAGAACAGGAAAAAGAAAACCTATTGCAAACATACTCGTATATGGATAACAACAAACTAAGAGCATATTTGGGGTGAGTTATCTTAAAGGTAAGCACCAAAATGCTTCTTTTAGATCTTGTAAAAAGTGATTTTTTTTTTTTTTTTGGTCTCAAGTAGGGGCTTATTTTGTTTGTAGGTGGGTTCAGATTTAGTACTTATCTTTAAGATTAAGCCACCCAAACATGCTCTAAGCTTAATTCTTAATAAATTTGGAGTCGGCAACATGAATCCTTATTTGACATTTTGTCGAAATGTTGTTAGATTTATTTGAAGATCCAAACCAACTAGATGGAAAACACCAGTAATTTCACTGCTCGAACAAGAAGCATATAAGACAACTAATCTGATCAGATCAATCCCGGCTGCAAAAGGACAGGTTTCTCAAGCCGTTTTGTGCTTGTTCATTATAATTCTAAATTTCCGTCGGCCTTTATTAGGACCTAAACCATGGAAAATTAAAAATTCTAATTCAGTTTTGAATTTATTCTGATTCAGTTTTCAATTATAACAACCAAAATCCATGCTGCGAATGCTTTTCTCATTAATGTATACGATAAACTTCTACGAGCTCATATAGCTCAAGTTGAATTAACAATATTCTGGGCCAGAGCAATTCACCAGCTTCAAGCGGCAAATGAGTTCATAACAAAAATGAGATTGTTCAAACTGCTTTATTTTCATTGTTCTAAAGTTTTATAAATTACGGCACCGAATAATCAAAGAGAAATTACTTTAAAAATATGAAAAATGAACTTCTCGAGGTCTAGAACCCCCTTTGCCTGTGAACAAACACCTTCGAAATACACACAAATTATATAAACACAATCAAATTTCCCTTAAAATAAAAGATCCAAACGTTAATATTCTTGCAAAGACCCTACAACCAAGCTCCAGGTTAGAGTAATATAATTTAACGTAACAAATTAACAATTCAATATAAAAACTTACGAGATCTTCATTGATGAGATAACAGTCGAACTGGTCATCCCAGCCGTCGTGGAGGTTCTTCTCCTTGACCAAATCTCCGATATTTATATGGCGTAATTGAATAGACTCCGCCAGAGCTGTCGCCGTCGTGGTCTTACCAGTTCCGGGCGTTCCTGCTATCAATATATTTGGCTTCTCCCTCTTCTTCTTGCTGCCCCAGCCATTCAGAGCCATCTATTCTTCTGCGTATTCTCTAAATTGGTGCGATTTGGCAATGGAGGCTGGGTTTTCTCTTTCCGCATTTTCGCGACTTCAGTAGAAGTTAAAATGGTAAATTACATTCTGGTCCTTTAACTTTCAGTGACCTATCGGCGTCGCTCAACTTCAATTGATTGCAATTGAGTCGCCTATCTTTAATTTTATTGCACAATGAGTCACTCCATTTGATTCCAATTCTTATTAGTTATTAGCCTCACCCAAATTTAGACCATTTTCAATTTGTTAACAAATTAGCTGGGTAACATTACAAAAAGCACACGTATAATCCAAAATAATAAATGTTAATTTCACGGTTAACTTAAATATCAAAGAGATTATAAATACTTAGTTAATTAGTTGTAATCATCATAACCAGCTCGATAAAAATGCATAGAACTTAAATACATAGCTTCATCATTGCTCATTGGACAATACTCTTAACCTATAAAAAAGGCCATTGATATGCTGTCACGTTTTATAATCGGAGAGGATCAGTCACGCTAGGACCGAGACAATCGAGACTCCTACTGAAGGTAGTAGTGGGAAATCTTCCGTTACAAGATGACTTTTTACATAGAAACTTAAGGAAAAAAATTACTGAGTGTTTTTGTCTTTAGCTTGGTCACGCTTGGAGTTCACTGTACATATTGTATTATATTTGCAAGACTCGCATTTCCAACGCTCCTCCATCGGAGCATAACTGGGCTCTCTTTTGCCTAGCCAAAACTCGAGAGAAGACTTGATTTGACCCATAACCCATTCAGAATCATAAGCAAACTCATACTCACCAAGCAAGGATTTATCTTCTTGCCATTCCTATCTGCACCAAATTAATAATCCAAGTCACCCTAGGGCCTAGTCTAGTCTGAAGGAAGAAGGTAAAAGACTTCAGAGTTTCTTTAAATCCCACTTCGAGCTTACCTCAAAATTAGTGAATTATTAGCTCGAGGTAGCTTGCAACAACGACTCCGAAAATAACACACCAGATCGTTTAGAGTCTGAAACAGCAACCAAAAATAGCATAAACATCAATGAACTCTTATTTCTAACACAGACTGAATCCAGCTCTGCATCAGAATATTTGGACAAACTAATGCTTCAAATTTGACACTGTGCTCTCTCTAATTTCATACGAATAAGTTATTCTATTGTGTAAAGGTTGTGAGGTGTGTACACAGAAAGGTCACCCACCGTTACCAGAGTATCAACCATTATCACATGTGCTAAAAAAGTAGGACTCTTGTTTAATGTACTTTTTTTTTTTTCAATGCGATCCTTACCTCTGAAGCAATACCAGATTTTGCCATATTTTCTATAATTTCTGAGGACAACATGTAATTAGGCTTCAGTGAAAAGAAATCAAAAAAAAATTCTACGGGGAATTTATCATCAACTAAACTGTCCCACAGATACTTGTAGCACATCATCTGAAGCCTGCCAAAATGAAGTTTGACAATGAGTTACAAGCACAAAAATAAAGTTTATGCGCTTCAGCAATTTACAGATTATACCTTCCATTCCTTCGTTGAGGTTCCCCCGGAAGTTTTCGTTGCTCACGAGTTTTCGTCTCAACCAATGTTGCGTATCTTTCAGAACCCGTTAGAAGTACTCGAATTTCATCGATTTTTCCTGTCATCCATATGCCTTCCACAAAGCCTACCCTGAAGGTACAAGTTGCAAGTTTATGAGATCATGATACACACACACTAAACCCCACAAAGTTTCTAAATAACACCGTTTAATCTAAATAAATAAAAATTCTTGAAGTGTTATGAAAGATGTTGCACTTCACACAGTTAATTCAACTTGCCTCCGTAGTAATAAGTTTCTTTCTTTCCTCAGAAGTAAAGAATTTTATTAGACAGAAACTCACAATGCCACTCCTATAGGTTAAATTGAAGGATAGGTTTTTGCTTTGTCAAAGTTCACACTCCTAATACAACATAAATCTTGGCGCGACAACAACTATAAAATGAGTGAGTGTGAATCTTCATAATCCTTAACACGAGTCCCGTTGTCTTGCTTACGCTTCATGTATGTCAAACAACGGGAACCCTCTCATCTCTTGATGCACATTCCGCTTTGAAATATTACTCGTATCAAGAAAGTTTTGAGGGGTAATTGTCATCCAATAAAATCTTCACAACTTCAGTCAGGGCAGAGAACCCGTTGCTGTCTCGGCCGTGGTACCGGAAGCTCTGGGGAAGTAGGAATAGCTCATGTGGCAAAATGTAACAGCGAGGTCTTCAAATTTGTGAATGCTCGAAAAGAATTAGTCAATGGCAAAAATTTTATACAACTCAAAACTTTATGGTGATCATTTATTTTTAGCCACAATTGATGCAAAATATAATCATGAATACATCCATTGGGCTGCATATCTAGTTGTTGACAAAATATCAAACTTACACTTTTAACTCGCGTGTCCGTCCCTTAGACATCAGTTGATTTGCACCGACTATAAAATTCAAAAAATTCAGTGCCCAGACTTCTTCATCTGATTTAACTGGCACTTTTTCATTTATAATAAGCTGTCCACATTCACAAGAGAAATCAGACTATATTATCAACGGCAAAAGAATATTAAATGTAGTTCTGCTTTGGCAATATCAAAGGCAAGATGATAATTTCTGCCCCAGAAAACGCAACATTATGAAAACACATTTTGAGCATGTTTGGCTAAGCTCAACATTTGTTTCCAAATACATTCTTCTAATTTTAAGTAAAAATAAGGACATATCTTTTGAAGTAACCTATTTCAAGAAAAAAAATATTTATTTAAACTCAAGATACGAATTATGCAGGATAGGAATTTATAATATAATACCTCTTTTTCAAGTTCGAGATGGCGAGCACTACCTTCTTTAATAGCTTTAGTCATTTTGGGTCCGCCAAAGAGTAGAGAAAACTCCGTTTCCTTTTCACACCAGTCCTAAATCAAACATATATATAAACTCAAAAAAACCTTAAATACAGAAAGA